AGTTGGCCACACACCAGTGTCAGCCTTGGTAGGATAAATCTCCCCAGACTTACCCAATGGCTGTGAACATTCTAAACTAACACAAGTCTCATTAAATGTCCAGTTTAAGGGTATTACACAGAAACACACCACAGGAACATGAATCAAATGTGTACTTTATTCATTTACAATAAATTCATAATGTAAATAATTCTGATTGAAGCTAAGGGCATTCAACTGTCTAACAGGATGTTGGCATATTGCTGGCATTTATCACATTGCAGGACTAGCTTGATCGCATCTACTTTCATAGTGGGCCAATAGTACCCTTGTCATAAGGCTTTCTGAGCTAGGGCCCAGCCTCCTATGTGTCTTCTATAAAGCCCTTCATGAATCTCACAGAGGACTTGATCTACTTCAGTTCATCGTAGGCATCGTAGTTAGGGCAGTGTAATGGACCTTCTGTAGAGCAGCTCGCCCACTATTACGTAGCGAGCTGCTTGTTGTTCTATCCGCTGAGTTGCATTTCTCTCTCTTGGCAATGTGTTATGCTTCAAGTAGCTAAAGACTAGGTCCATCTAGCTCAGCTCGGTAGTTTCTATGTGGGCGACTTCTTCTGCCCCTTTTTCTATTGATAGTAGAGGTATCTCTTTTATGTAAACTGTCCTCTTTGTCGAGTCAATCGTGCTCAATAGTTTTGAGAGGGCGTCAACCTCTATATTTTCCATTCTCAGAACTTGCTAGAGGTACCAGAAGTGGAAGTTGGGCAAGAGTTCCTTGACCTTGGCTAGATAGGTTGCCATGGCGTGCTCTTGAGCCTTATACTCCTTGTTTACCTGGTTCACTATTAGCTGCGAGTCCCTACAAGCCACGAGATGTTTGGCTCCTATCTTCTTTGCTAGTGCTAGCCCAACTATTATTTCCTCGTACTCGACCTCATTGTTTGAAGCTCAGAACTAAAACTAGAGTGCGTATTCAAGCTTTACATCACTAGGTTCGTAGAGTATCAACCCAGCTCCGCTTCCACCTTGATTGGATGAGTCGTCCACATGGAGTATCCAAGGCTCCTTGTCCCAGCTAGCTTTTTTGCAAGCCGGGAGTGGTGTCGCACTGGTTAAAGCCTTCGATTTTTTAGCGGGCTCAGCCGTTTCAAGGATTGATGAGCTGAAAGTGCACTTGACAATAAAATTTGCCAAGACCTATGTGTTTATTGCCGGCCACGGCTCATAACAGATATCGTATTCACTGAGCTTTATTGCCGACTTTGTCAGCCTCCCTAAGACCTCAAGCTTCTGAAGGACCTGCCTTAGGGGTCGATTGGTCAAGAAGACAATGGTATGGACCTAGAAGTAAGGCCTTAGCTTCCAGGCGGCTAACACTAATGCACAGACGAGCTTCACTATGTTAGGATATCTTGTCTCAAAAGCATGTAGGACCTTGCTTATGTAGTACACTGGTCACTGTATCTTGTCAATTTCTCTTACTAAGACTAAGCTAACCACCTCATCACTGGTAGAGAGGTAAAGTTTGAGCTCGTCCCTAGTCTCGGGTTGGGTTATGATAGCTATAAATATATAACCCTARCAAGTGCACTAGTTATCAAGTAGTATAATAATATCGTTCCCACGGGAATTTAACAAAATAAGTATTAGAATC